ATCTATTTGGTAGAAATCATTCTATATTAATGATAGAATAAGAAATACATTATTCATCTACTTACCTTTGAAGATTCGGTCAACAAACAGTTCATGAAAGCTGTTTCATTAAGAATTGCTGAATTCTAATTCAATATCAATTTATTACAATTTCGTTTTCGTTTTATAAGTCAAACTTTCTATTGGCTGAAACGGGTTATGTCCTCTCGAATTATTAATAAAAGCGACATCGTACTAAGTATAGTTTCATATTTATAAAATAAATTCATAAATATAGAGCATTCGTGTTTTACAATGACCTATACAGCTGTGATGATTGATGTACACGAAAGAACTACAAGTAGTTTTTATAATTTTAATATTTTATTACGTCTAAACTTTTTTCTATAAGTTATAACCATAACATAAACACTTGTCATATGATTGTAATTAATAGACATATTTTACTTCTTATCGAACGATAAAAACTATACTAACAACATTGTAATAGGTACTTACGTCAACTGTTTAATAACATATAGTCTTAATTTACATAAATCTATCTGAAGTGTTATGGATATAAAATGCTCATTTATTGAGTATATACATCTGTTTAATATCATAGTAATTCTTTCCTAGACATGAACAATAACACAAAATAAAAAAAAAGAAATCATCTCACATCAATCTATTGGTTGTAAAATTTCTTGTTCATTTGAAATAAAAAGACATATTGAAACTAGTGATTATTCAGTAGTAGTCAAACATAGTTTATAATGACAGTGCTTTATGATAATTCTCTTTCTACAAAACCATTACCAAAAAGTCAAACATTAATATTTGATTCTCATATAACAACACCATCAAAATTAAATATTAGATTAAAAACACATTCACTTTCATCTTTAAATATTCCATTGGAAACCTGTGTTAATTTTAAACAAATGTCATCATTACAAACTAAACAACAAAAAATTCTAGCTGGTAGTGTTGATTCTATTTCTGAAACACAACATTCAAATGATGATATATGGAATCATTTTTCATCATCATCATCATCAACATCTTTAATAAATATTTCTTCATCAAATAAACAATTACCAATAGTTCAACAAGAATGGCGACAAATTCTTAAAGAACGTTTTCATATATCAAATTCATTTATTACATCTACATCTTTTAATGATTCAATTGTTCGACTTCGACGTAATCATCATTTTAAAAATATACATCAATCATCATTACAAGCTATTGATAAAATACCTATACGAAAACGTCGTTTTTCTTTCAATTGTAAGTAGATTTTAATATTAAAATTTATGGATTTTTTTTCTCCTTCAAATTTTATTTGATTAAGATCATGAATCTATTCCAAAATTTACTTTTCGTGATTTACCATCGTCAAATTCAAGACCAACATCGTCAATCAATCAATTTGAACAGTCATCGAAACGTCGAATGTCTCAATTTATTTCATTACCTGAAATACGATCATTTAATGAAAAAAATTCTTTCGATAGTTCATCTAAAGTCAAACTGTCACAATTGCCTAGATCATCATGGAAAAAATCGAATTCATGGTCATGGAAATCAAATATAAAAAATAAAGAAATTCAACGTCAAGTAAGTGATTTTATTATCTATCAAATCTTACATTTTTAATCTAGATGATCGACGATCATTTTCATTCGAATTTACCTGTTATTATTGAATCACCATTACAACAACGTTCTAATATGTATCATTCAAATCTATCTTTTTCCAATGAGAAAACTCAACAACGATCAAATAAAAAAATCAGTCCTTTTCCTCATTCAATTTCAAACTATGATGTAGCACCAAATTTATTTTCATCTCAATCAAAAATTCATTATCCATCAACACCTGTTCTTACTCATTCATATAATAAAAATTTTGAGAAATTTAATTATCAACGAAATCTATCATCGATACCTGTTATGGATGATGCTGATGATTGTGATTCAACTTTAAGTGATAGTAGTTTTCGTTCATGTATCAATAGTATGGATGAATCTTTTGAAGATCCTAATACTGATTCATCATCAGCATCAGATAGTTATTTTCAAGAATTTTCTTCTATTTATGATTTACCAAGAGGAATTACCAATGAAACAATAAAACATTCTCGATTATCTTTTCGACATATTTGTACTCTTCAATAATTTTTGTTTTTGTTTTTAGTTGAAATAAAGAACAAATAACCTAGAATGTAATGATTACTTATAAGATATGTTAATTAGATAATGATCATTAAAATATTGTAGGGTAATTATGAGTATCAATTAAGAACATTCTGTTCTGGGAAACGAAACAGTATTCATTAATTAGGTGACTATTCATCATTTATTATCTCAATATAGAACATAGTTAGGCTATAAAAGGAACATTTATTTTGAATTTCACTATATCATATCTACATTAAATAAATAAATATGAATAATAACTATTTCTCATCATCTTTCGAAGATCAAGTACCATCCTATAATTATTCATTTGAATATTCATCACCATCAACAACTACATATGGTTACTCATCATTTTTACCACCATCGGGACCACATTGTCCATTTCATACACCACATACGTTCTATTCACCTGTATTACCATCAACGAATTATTCACCTGCTTCATATACTTATCAACAACAATCGCAAGTAGAATCTCCTAATATTCAGCAAGGTATGTTTTAAAACATTTTTTATAAAAACATAATGAATTTATTCTGTTTAGATCGTACACCACTTCGTCGACATCAATGTTTTAAAAAGAATGAACTTCAAATACTGCATCAAGCTTATATTCGAGATGCTCATCCATCAATTGATATTCTTCGACAATTAGCTGTACAATTAAAAGTTTCTATTGATAAAATTCGAGTAAGTTTCATTAGAACGATTAATATTGTATTTATCATTATTATTTTCTTTGTAGCAATGGTTCAAAAATCGACGTCATAGTGACAAACAAATTCGACGAGAAACTTCAACAACACAACCTTCAAAAATTATATAATTATTTTTTTTTTGTTTTTAATTTATTATTTATTATTTATTAATAAAATTTGAATCAATATAATGATTTTTTTATTTGTATTCATTGTTGATTACAATCAGAGGGGTTTTGAATTCGTTTACCATTAATGATCAGATTAGTACTAGGTGAGACACTGATTTGAGCATCACGACTAACATGAATATTTGTTGATTCACCATTCGATAGAAGAACATTTCTCATTACGTGCCCATTTTCATCGATAGTTTCTTCACTAAAGAGAGCACGTACAACTTCTAGATTCCAAGGTGTATTTTGATCTAATTGTGATGATTCGAGCGATTGATTGTTGTGGTTACCTTGATTTTGGTATTGACAACAGAGAGGACAGAATGGTTTTATTTGCAATGTTCGTGGTAAACAATTTGAACAAAACGAATGATTACAAGACGTAACTGTTTGTCGACATTGATCATCATCAAATAATTGTAAACAAATTGGACATGATCGATCAAGTTCATCATTCAATTGTTGCCTAGATGATGTCTGTGTAACTTTCATCTCTGTTGAATTACGTTGCTCCATTAAGAAATGCCGTAAGTTAAATCGGGTTTGACATATGAACTCTACTTATGTTTTATTATATTAAAATATTTTTTTTGTCCCGCTTTCTAGCTTTTATTCGTATGTATTGATATCCATGACATTATGCATGTTTGAAACAAACGGTGAAAAAAAGGAATTACATATATGTCATCGGATACTTCACCAATGTGTGAATTTTTTTTTTCGTCTCTTTTTCGCTTCTTCTATAATTTAATTACTTTGTATTTTGCAGTAATTCATGACCTTACTTTTTAAATGTTCGACACTTCTAATGTAATGCAGATCATTCTTTGTCTTCTCCAGGTCTATTTCTCAATACTTTTGTTTATTTACTGATTTGTTTCACCATGCGGTCTGTTAGACATTTACATTACAGATTATCGACTACCAATGAAAAATATGTTTACGCCATATGTATAATGATTGACTCAACAATTTTACTTGTTTTTAACATTCTATGAAAAATGGTTAAGCAAATAGTAAGTTCTTGAATAATAGAAGTGGACGGAAGTAGCCAGTATTTATGAAATAAACATTTTTTCTACATATTCTTTTATGACATTTTGATGATGTTAATAATAATGGATTAGTATTCAATAAGAGAGAAAATGTGAAAATATGCCTACATTTTTTTTCTTATCTTATATGCATTTTATAGTAAAAATAGTTTGATGAAATCGACATTATCGAGAAAAAAATGCTAGTAAATAAATAGATTTAAACAGCACGAAGAGAAAATTTTTATTGAATAAATATTGAATGACATGTCCATTTTAATATGTACGAGCATATATTTATCTAGAAATATACAGTTCTCATATTTATAATATATTGCTACTACAAGGATATTTCAAATAGTATTTTAGTTTTAATTTGAAGGACAATTATACGATAAAATACAGTAAGATTTCATAGATAAGAAGCTTGAAAATTATTTTTTAATGTATATGAAAAAGTACTTTTAAAAGAAACATGATTTTACTATTTTAATTAAGATAAAAGTATTCTTATAGGAGCATAGTTGTTGCCGTAGGATACGCATAACTTGAATTATAAACCTTCTAGATCTTATCTTTGTATTAAAAGATTTTTTGAAATGTTAATGAAATTTATTCATTGTGACGATTTAATAAAGAATATTGTGTGCCGCCATCTGTATCTTTCGTATTTATCATTTGATGATTATAAAATCCAATATAAACTAACTTTCTACATATTATATTATTTTCTATCGTCGTCGACGTCGTCTCATTTTCGGGACCTTCGTACCTGCTCAAGTAAAATCGATCATTTATATTCAATTTAAGGAAAAAAAAATGCCGCCACCACAATCACGATCATCATCAAGAAAAAATCCGTCTTCATCTAATTTATCTACAAGATTAAAATCTTTCTCAAAACAATTTTTAAATTTATCATTCTATAAAGATCTTCTAATCAATCCAAATCGATCTATCTATGTTATGTTTGGTCTTTTTATTATTGAAATCTTTCTAAATATTTTTATCATAAAAAGAACTAATTATACTGAAATTGATTGGAAAGCATATATGCAAGAAGTTGAAGGTGTTGTTAATGGTACATTTGATTACTATAAATTAAAAGGTGATACAGGACCTCTTGTGTAAGTTAAACTTTTAATTCTAAGAAACAAAAAAATCTATTTTTAATGTATAGTTATCCAGCTGGTTTCGTTTATATTTATATGATATTTTATTATATTACGAATCTTGGTCGTAATATTGGTTTGGCACAATATCTATTTGCTGGTCTTTATTTAATTATGATATCAGTTATATTCTATATCTATAATCGAATTGCTAAGGTTTTTAATTTGTATTTTAATTTAAAATTGTTAATTAATTTTCTTTTTATCTAGGTTCCACCGTATGCTTATATATTTATGTGTTTATTAGCATATCGTATTCATTCAATTTTTGTTCTCCGTCTATTTAATGATCCGATTGCAATGACATTTTTATATATTTCAATTGTTTTTCTACTTCGTCGACAATGGAGTATAGCTTGTATTCTCTATAGGTTTGTTTTAAACAAAAGTGTTTTCTTTTTCTCTCTCTCTCTATATATTCTATTGTATTTTAGTTTGGCAGTATCGATTAAAATGAATATTTTATTAATGGCACCAGCACTATTTATTATCCTCCTACTTTCAGTTGGACTTCGTGCAACATTTCAATATATATTCTATTGTGCTTTATTACAAGTAAGATTAATTTATATTTTTGTATTCAAATTATTTAATATCTATATATATAGTTCATATTTGCTATACCATTTCTTTTATCAAATTCTTCTGCTTATATTATTCGTTCATTTGATCTTGGCCGTCAATTTTTCTATATATGGACAGTTAATTGGCGTTTAATTCCCGAACATATATTTCTCAATCGTTATTTTCATCTATGTTTACTATTATTACATATTCTAGTCTTATTATATGTTTGCCGTTATCAATGGTTAAAGTAAATTCTATTCGAGAAACAAAAAACCGAAAATTTTAATTTCTTTCTTTCATAGAAATATAACAACATTTAAAGAACTTTTAAATTATCATAAAAATTATATTCTATCCGATGATGCAAATGTAACATTAATGTTCTATTCAAATTTTATTGGTATTTGTTTTTGTCGTTCACTTCATTATCAATTCTATGTTTGGTATTATCATATGTTATATCATTTATTATGGAGTACAAATTCAAAAAATATTGTTAAGTAAGTTATTTAATTCAAAAAAAAAGAAGTTTTTCTTTATTCTTTGTTATAGTCTTTTAATACTTGGTTTAATTGAATGGGCATGGAATGTATATCCATCAACAGTTATGAGTAGTTTAATTTTACATATTTGTCATGGATATATATTATTTAAATTACTAACATCACTTGCAATGAAATCGAATACGAAGAAAATAGAGAAAAAATCGAAATAATGTCAGATATTTGGGTTTTGAAAAAAAAGGGTGGTTAACGACGAGAATAAAATATGGTTTTTATTTTTCACTTTTTCTTTTGGATTGTTTTCAGTTAACTAGAATAAACAACATATTATTTTCCTTTTGTTTTCTCCTATTAAAATTTTTTCTTTTATGCATAGTTTATCAAACTGAGAAGAAGTTAATATACCATGTAATTTGAATAGCCTATAAGCATAGCAAATGTCTCTGTTTTTTTATCGTTTTTTAATGATGCGATGACAACTGATAAATTAGGGAATTCTATTATAAATAATGAGAAAAAAATGCGTTATTTTATACTTCTGTAAATATAAGATAATCTCTTTCGAAATAGTAATTTGTCCTATTTTATTGCAATAAATAGTACGAAAAAACTTGTTAGATTCAAGAACAGAAAATCTGATATCTAAAAAATCACTAGAGACTTAAAATCTTGTTGTTTTAAATAGATTTCAATCCTTTAGAGATATTTTTCTCTCGTAGATATTATATTTTATAAATGAAGAAAGAACTATTCTGTTTCTATCATCTCAGTATTATTTTTCTATCACAACAGGAGTTCATTGGTATTCAAGTGAGTCTGAGTATTAGTATGTGTGATGATCATATATATATAATAAATATAGTAATTATATTTCTAGATGTAATTTTAAAAACACTTTTTTATACTATACGAACATTAACAAGGTCAAACTTTAATCATTATATTGTCATCTGGATTATTATTATTCATTTGTTTATTTTTTCTTCATTTCTATTCAATGAACGATTTATTACGATAAGATTATATAACTATTTGCCTATATATATATATACATATCATGGGATGATTTTACTGTTGAATATTATGAGAAATAATTCGACTTCATCAATTAAATAGTCTAGATTATTTCCTATAATTAAAGTAAGATATTAGAAAAAAACATAATCGATAATTTTGATAGAATTCTAAATATTTTTATGATATTGTATCTATTCAAGTTGATACTGTATTCATATAATTTTTATTTATGATCAATTGCAATATTGAAAAACAAATTGTGCTGTCAAACATTCGATTATTGTATGTATAACCGTATCGTGTAATTATATATTTTTGTATATTTATTCTCTTGTCTTGATTGATTCAATGATGCGTAACATTCGTTATTTTTTTTTGTGTGCATACTTTTCTTCTATCTACTGCCAATCGTAAAGAATGTTATGAGCTTCCCAAGGTTTCTTTATGATAACAGACAATTGGTCGAATGCACCGTAGGAGAAGCTCTATAATGAGTGGGGGAATAGAAAAAATAACAATTTATTGTGATGGTATGCTTCTTTCATCGCTCTATCAGCTTTCATCATCGAACAGTCAATATTCCTCCGATGGGTGTAAGCCAGAAAATGTATTAAGTTTCGTTTGTCTTCCAGCAGGAAAAAAAACGCTAAACATATTCATACATCTATATATAAGTTCTATTAGACTGATGGGTTAGAAATAATTTTCTGTCACTGTTACTACCATATGTTTGACAATACTGATGTATATAATCGTAAATATATTTCCATATGTATATATATAACCAGGTGGTATATTACCATATCAAGCTTAGTTATAATAGTATTATCAGTCAATCATAATATGTAACTATCTAGAAAGATTTATTTCCTCTTTATTTTTAGATGAAATACTAGCAGTTTCTTTTTTTTGTGTAATAAATCCAATAGCAAAGATGAGTGATGATATTATATTGGATGGAAAAAATGCAAATGATGAAAAATCGTCTGGACCTGGAAAGGTTTGTTATAATAATAGTAATAATTTATTGTTTTTCTTATCTCTATTTTAGCTTGAATCAATGTCTAGAGAAGATTTAATTAAACTAT